AGGGGCAGTTAGGGGTGACCTGTGGCAGAGAGGGGGAGTTGGGGACAACCAGGCTGGCAGGGGGGGCAGTAAGGAATGACCAGGCCAGCGGGGGGGCTGGGGGGGTGCAGTTAGGAGTGACCAGGCCTGCACGCAGAGGCAGTGAGGGGTGATCAGGCCAGCAGGGAGGTTAGTGAGGGATGACCAAACGACTGAACAAGCAGGCTATGTGGGGCAACCAGGCTGGTGGAAGGGTTAGTGAGGAACAAGCAAATGACTGAACAGCAGGCTGCATGGGGCGACCAGGCCAGCAGAGGGTTAGTGAGGGACGACCAAATGACTGAACAACAGGCTATGTGGGGCAACCAGGCCGCAGAATTTGCAGTTAATCAGGGACCTATTTTTTTTTTTAAAAAGCTACTCTGACTCACATCATTGATAGAGTAATAGAAAACAACATAAGTTTTTAAACTTTTGGCAAATTCAATATCCTACATAATAAAAGCCTAGGTGGTGGCATGTCCTCATGTGACGCCCTTGTGTGATGTCATCACAAGATGGCCTGCAGGGGAGGGCAGTTGGGGGCGACCAGGCCAACAGGGGAGGGCAGTTGGGGGCGACCAGGCTGGCAGGAGGGGACAGTTGGGGATGACCAGACCAGCAGCAGGGGTCAGTTAGGGACGACCAGGCCAGCAGGAGGGGCAGTTAAGGGCGATCAGGCCAGCATGCAGAGGCAGTGAGGGAACAAGCAAATGACTGAACAGCAGGCTGCATGGGGCGACCAGGCCAGCAGAGGGTTAGTGAGGGACGACCAAATGACTGAACAACAGGCTATGTGGGGCAACCAGGCCGGTGGGGGAGCCGTAAGTGGTGACCAAGCCAGCAGGGGGGGAAGTTTGGGGAGACTAGGCTGGCAGGGAGGGCAGTAAGAGGCGACCAGGCCAGCGGGGGGAGCAGTTAGGGGTGACCAGGCTGGCGGGAGGGGGGGGGAGCAGCTGGGGTCAACCAGGCTGGCAAGAGGGGCAGTAAGGGGGGACCAGGTTGGCAG